ATAGAATTTTCATCGCGGAAATCTCGTTGTGTTTATCGACGATATTATGTACTTAAGTTTCTTTGCACGCGATTCCAAATCGCGGTTGAAATTACTTCCGTCGAATAAGTATTTTACGCTCAGCGTACAAGCTTGCACTCTCTCTCTTCGCGATCAGAGAAATTGTTAACGGTGTACGTAAACGATAGTCGCAGACGTCTCGCAGACCAGCATTCTCGCCAATTCTGCGACGTTCTTTCTTTCTTTCCGGCCGAAAGTCGCGAGATTCTCGGACGATTGCCGGAGAATTTCATTTTATCGGACAAAAGTGTTCAAACCTGCATACCTGCGCATTTCTGCCGTCCCGCTGGACAGAAAGAATTCCCTCCGCCGTGGAAGAAAGCTACGCTCCCGCCTTTTTTCGCCAAAAAATGTTGCCACGGGCGCGTTTAATCGTTCCCCGTGTCGAGAAGCTTTCCACGTTAACGAGGATTTGCGCGTTAATTTCTTTACCGGGGAAATTAAGCTGCGATCCTTGAAAGAAAAAATGGATCGCAACGGACAACGAAAAGAAGCTCGCATCGATCAATCGGTGACACCGTGCCCGCGTCCGTGAAACAACCGCTTTTTCCACCAGTTTCTCGCGACCAATCACTCTCGTTGGACTCGAAACGTTCGCTAAGTTTGATAGAAATTAGCGACACGCCATCGAGAACTGTACACGCGTGTTTCTTCGAGACGACGACGGCCTCGAAGAGAAAAATTTTCTCGCGAGAAGTTTTATCGTCGCCAGAAACGACGGGGGGAGGGGGAGTCGTGGCCCGATATCCCAGTTCTCCCGACAGCTTCCTTAAAAGCTTCCTTTATTAATCTCTTCTTTTGTTATTCGGCCTTAATTGACAGAGAGTAACAGTGTTTAGCACTCCCGGCCATTCTCTCGATTCCTCGTTTCGAAGCAACAATGCGAAAGGAACGAGAAACGAATTCGCGTTAATGAATTCGAGCGTGCATTCGTGCCGTCTCTTCTACCCCCCCCCCCACGTCGACTTCTTAAACGTGCTCCTCGAGCTTTTCTCCGGGCAACGCCAACATAAAATCGCGTTTTCACATCGCGCCGCGACACTCGCGGAATGTTTAATCGCTCTGCGAAAAATCCCAAGGAAACAGAAATTTCAACCGCGAACAGAAACGAGCACAAATCGAATGAAACTACTCTCGTGAAACGTCTATGATTGCTTTCTCTTCTCTTCGTTAACTCGGTTTCAACAAATTAATTTTTACTTCTTCGCGTTTCTATCGATAAAGTGTTAAGATCCGAGACAGAAATTTGCCACGTTTGTAGAGTTCGTCTCGTTGCATTGACAACTTGAGAGTCTTGAAAGACACTTTGCATCCGATTTAAATAACGTTGTTAGTATTCAGCGTGATCGCCGGTCGTTTTCTTTCAAACTACACGCGCGAATCTAGTTTTCGCGGCTGGTTATTAAAGAACGAGTCGCGCCGATACGCGTTCTTCCGATCGAACTCGATCGTTCGGCCGATTAATAACCCCCGAAGGCCCCGTGAGTCGCAGGATTCGACGGTGAAAGAAACCTCTGTCAAACAGAGAGACGTATAGGAGAGAGAAAAAAAAGAACGAGGGAAGAAACGTTCGTCGGAGATTGCTTTTCGTCGCTTTCATTCCTCCGGCACGCGGATGATTACCGATGACTATCGAGGCCGCGGTCGTTGTTTCCTTTGCTTTGCACCCTTTGTGCCTCACCTTTTCTCCGCGTTTCTCCAGTCTCCGGGTAAAAAAAACCACCGCTGGATTTACCCTGCGTTTCCATGCCAGTCGTTGTCGTTTTGCAGACAAAAAAAACAATAGCGATTTCGAAGGGAACTCGCGACCATCGTTTACCGTCTCTATCCCCGCAATGTCTTTTGGAAACCATTCGGTGGCTTCTTTTGTTTAGATCGCCGAGAGCAGAGCACCGTGACTCCTCGTTAAAAAAAAAAAGAAAATAGGCCGTGCAATCCGTCGCCCCAAAAATTTAACGAAACCTGAAATTATTATTACCGGATCGTTCGAAGCTTTGGTTCCGGGTTTCAGCGAATGGTCCGCGTTGTGAAAACGTTGCGTTCCTCGGTAACGAATAAATAAACGGTAATTGGACGAAAACGCGTACGCGGAACGGGGGTATTTTAATTATCGCGAGGAACGCGCGCACCGTCGACGTTAAAGGGGCGTGTAATTATTAAGAATACTAGGAAAAAGTGTCTGGAAAACAGGATTCAGCGACGGCGTCGTTCCGCGTAATGATCCGCGACGCGGATTCACGGGGACAAAAAGCCAGCTGCAACGACTCTTGGCCTAGATGCGAAGACAGGCCCGAAAGAGGGTCGACTCGCTCGTCTCGCGCTGAAATATCGACGAGAGGGAACCCGTTGATGACTCCGGCGTGGCGCTTTTAAATGATCGTCGGCCATTTAAATTCCAGCGAAATCGCTAATGAAAAATTTTCGCGAGACCTGACGAGTTCGCGTGAAATCCGTGAACGCGAGTCTAACCGTTGATTCTCCCGGTGAAAAGAAAATGTCGCGATCGTCGATGAAAAAGAATATAATACATAGATCTTCCGCGCGCCCCCGATGATCTTGCCGCGTGTGCGACGGAAAGCTAAAAACGACGCGTTATTCGCGGGAATATCGGTGTAAATGACAACGTCCCTTCCTCCTCGCTCCATTTACACCGCGAACAATTGTTCTCGTTTTCTATTATAGCCGTTCCCGTTGCGCGACTGCACCCAGGAAACGATGTCGTCGCGAGGCGCGTACGAGTCGTATCGTTCGTAAATCGAGTAGACGAAACGTCCCCGACCGGAAAAGTTCACCTTTTTATTTTCGTTTCTTATCGTCGCCGGGAGACGTTCATGGAGCAGAAAACATTCGTTTCTCTTTGAACGATACAGTCGGCAAAATATAACGCCCCTCGACGGGGCGACAAAGCGACTGAAAACTAGTCCGAGCCCCGGTTAATAACGGATTCCTTCGTCGCATTCAAATTTTTAACTACGCCGAAAGAAATTTAACAAACACGAGTGGGTCGGTCGAAACATTCAGCGAAATAGCTGTGCTTACGCGCTCGGAACGAGAAAACTGGGTCGTGAGCATTGTTTTATTATATTCGATCGCCACAGTGGGGAACCGAGTTTATATAATTCTTGCTTAATCCGCGAACAGTTCGACCACGGATTTCGCCGTAGAAACTAGAATAGGCGGGAAAACAAACATACGGGGAGTCGGATTTTAATTTCCCGCCGAGTTCTCAATATATTACGCGACGAAAATGGAGCCGTCGAATTATGCGAAAGATAAGACGAGCCAAACGCGGCCGGAGGACGATGTAATAATGTAAATGCACCGTGCGCGTTGCATAAGCGACACGACGAAGAAATTTAACATGGTCTCGCCGAGTAGAGAGGGACGATTAACGATAAGTGGCCTGTTGTTAAAAGCCGGCAAGCGGGATTAAATAATCGAGCAAGGTACGTGTCTGAATTTAGAGAGAAATAAACGAAGAGTTTATTTGTTTGGATTAATCGTTTAAACTTCGTGGTGGTAAAAAGTGCGGGAGCTTTGAATCCAGTCGGTAAAGTCGATCGATAGGCTAGCGGTCGGTAAGTGTTGGTAACAAAGAGCCGATTAATGGGCTGACGGTCGATAAAACGTTAAGAAACACGCGAGGAATAATAGAAAACATACGGAGGAGCGCGGGCAGGGTGGTGGGCGAATAAAAACAGAGGGAAGAAGCGAAAGAGGTGGAGAATGAACGTCGTGTCCCTGGCTTGGACTTCAAAGTACCTTTCCAGCTCGCGAAAACCAGTATTGCGGGAAACAGTGCAAATAGAAAGGACGAGATAGCGGACGGATAGCACGAAAAGAAAGGGAAAATGGCAGACGGCGCCGGGACAGAAGTAGTATTAATTTCCTCGAGCCCGGAGGTCCTGGCACATCATTCTCCGGCAGACAGCAGGAAAGACGAATCCCTTTCGTTTCCCTTCAACCCGAGTCCCGTGTCTACCTTCTCGATATTGCCAACATCGCGGCCGCTTGCAACTCCACGGCACGGTTTCTCAGCCTCAAAGCGAGCCAGCTTTACGTAACAACGACCGTCGTGCGAATTTCCACTCGGAATTCTTCCCGTTTCTCGTTCGTCGGACCGCCGCCCGAAAAATTCACCGTTTCTCGTTTAGCCCGTTTCTCCTACCGCCGCAACTATTCGCTTAATTTCCAAGTTCGCGTCCGCCGACTATTCCGCTCGTGGAAATCTCCGACTTTCGACGGTTTATGGTTCCTTTACGATCGAGTCGTTGACCGTAGTTGTCTGCTGATTTTGTTTTAATGCGTTCGTTTAATGAAAGATGAGGAACGACGCTGCTCGTGGGATGGGATCGGTGATAAATCTTCGTTAAAACGTTGGAACGCGGAAAAAGCGATTTGTATCTCTCGGTTTTGTCACCGTAGTCGCAAAGTCGAAATAACTCTGGAGAGGAATTCGTCTCTGTCCTGGGTAGGAACGGGGTGGAGTCGAATTAACCGAAAGAGAATCTTTCCAGGGGTAACGGTGCAGCGTGTAGCGGGTATATCTGCAAGATAGACTCTGTTACAGGGTAGAAAGTTTCCTGTTTGTCGTGTCGGTTGAACCAGACTTTCCTGCAGCGGAATAATCTTCGCTGGAAACTCGGTATGACCCCGCAATGGTATATAAACTACGAGGGAACAGTGCCGTAGCCATCAGGCTGATTTACAATGTTTGTTCCCCGGGGTAAACCGTTAGTTTCTCGTCGTCTATTATCGCGGTAGTTTGTACACCGAATATAACCCAAATGGAACAGACCAATCGAGCCGCGGAAGCAAAGATACGAAGAAGCTTTAATGTTTCCCGAGATATCAATTATTACTCGGCTAATCTCGAAGCGCGTTCGAATAGAAAAAATACCGCTCGGACCTGCTTTAAACTGGTCCCTTTTGTTTTGCAGGAGCCGTTGGTGGCGAAGGCGGAGACGAAGATGACAAGGAGAAGGAAGAGGAGGCCGAGAGAGAAAGGCAAGAAGCCATCAGGGAGGCTGAGGAGCGACGGAAGGAAAAGCACCGTAAAATGGAGGAAGAGCGAGAAAAGATGCGACAAGAAATCAGGGACAAGGTAGGAAACTCGCCACGTTCGATGAATTTAGCAATATTTTCGAAATTCGCGATTCTTTTACCGTCGAACGACTTCATTGAAGAACGCCGAGAAGAGGTCTCTTCTTCGTCTCGAGAGAAGAAGTCGTTTTCGTCTCGTAAAGGCTATCCATTCCCGCTATCTTTAACAGCTTCAAAGAGGTTTCGTTTGGGAGATGGCGCGTTGAATGGGCGAGTGCAACCGGAAAGGCGTACGAATGATAAAAAGACGCGGATCGAAAGTCCCCGCTTATTTAGAAATGTACGGGACTGTGTGAGCACCGCGGCCAAATCCCGGGGGTACGGAGCTAAGATACAGATATCCGTGTGTACCGTGCACGCTGTATATCGAGTGGCTTCTGGGAGCTCGAAAATTTCAAAGCTCCTTCGTTCCGCCTAAAAAGAGTACGTTAAAGCTGATATTTCTACGGGAGCAACCGCGGATGCACCGTCCGAAATAACTCCTCAAAGATGCCCGGTTTACGAGACTTCCCGTTAACTTTGTGCCAGGTGCTTCGCGAAACTTTAAATCACTTTTATCCGGGATAAACAATCTTTCGTAATATCGCGATTTACGCGCGACAAAGTAATAATTTTCTCTTGCCCTTAAATGAATGAATAAATAAGTATCTTTTGGTCGCCTTCCCGCGTTCAGCTATAAAGGAACAGCCGGTGTTGTTCGTCGATGAATTCGTCGCGTAACCGCGTGCTTCCGATCGAAATCTGTCGCTCGTCGAAGTGGATTTCTTCCTCCCCTCGCGGGGTATTAACCAGCCCCTTCTATCCCGCGATTACGCTGAAAAATGGCATCCTTCCCCGGTCGTGGAACGTCTATCGACTCCATCGGTTATATTACCGATTTCTTAATATCGACGTCGAGCGTGCTCCGACAAAATTAATACCACCCCCGGCCGGGTACACGTTGTTCGCGGCAAATCTAATATTTCATTATCGCTTATCTCGATGTTCCTTTTTCTCCAAGGTTCTACTACCCCCCTACCCCCTATCGCGTTACCGTCGCGCCTGCCAGAAGCTCCCAGAGGTTATCGCGTAGGCGTGATGTTTCCCGTCAACCGCGATAAATCTCCTTGCCATTCCCGCGGTCTCTTCGGTTCCGACGTTCCTCTCGAACGCCATGAAAAATGAACACGGCGAGATTATTATTACTTTCGAGGATCGATGTACTCTTTTCCCCTGCGTTTCAACCGTCCACGTAAGGACACGTTCGAGAACCATTAATTATCCCGCCGCGTCAACGAGCCCCTACATTTTCGTTTCTATCGTCGTGTACTCATTATTGCATCAAACGCGACGCGAAACACCGTATATGCTAATCCACGGAGACCACAAACACCGCGACAATTCCCTCCAAGGTGACTTTATGGAAATTTCAATCTTCGAATTATTGTTATTGTTATTCATTTATTCGCGTGAATTTTTCATACCCTTTCCATTTATTTTTACCTCAAATTTTTATTAACACTTTGTTACTTTTATTTACGAAGTACACTTTTTATTAAAATATTAACGGTGCAATTTATTTATTCGGTGTACTGGATATACCCCATTCGATTGTCTACGTATAAACAAATAATGCCAACAATATACAAATCAATAACATGTTTTTCCCCCCAAGCAGTCACCCATCCCAAAGTGCTGCACTTGACCGCGCCCAATGCAGCTTCACTTCGGTGAACGAACGAGGGCCGATGCTTTCAACGTTCCATAACTGTTGACAAGTTCCACTGTTAATTCTGTCCTCTTGAAATAGTTGGGTACTTTACTGATTATAGATACACTGATAAATTGATCGTTATTGTTATTCGTGGCTTTCCATTTATTTCTACCCCAAATATTGTCAATTAACACTCTGTGTTATTTCTATTTACGAATAATATAACGGTATATATTTATTTAGTATTCGGAATATATACCCCAAATAAAATCCCAATAAGACATTTTTTTCCCGAGCGGTCCACCCATCCTATAACTGCACGCGGTCCAATGCAGAACGAGGACCAATTGTTTCAACGTGCCACAACCGTCGACAAGTTACACTTTTAATTCAGTCCTCTTAAATTAGGTGGATTACAGATACACTGATGTAATTAACGTTACGTAAGGTGGACCGTCCGACTATATTCGCCGCAGAGTCGATTCTAATCCGTCCCCGAAACGTTAGGGAAAGTCGAGCTACGTGGCGATTCCATTGTAATTCGGAACGTCAATAGGAAACGGAGTAATTATCTAACGAAGCTGATTTCATAATTCGAACGCGCGTGGTACGGCCGCTCGGTTCTCGCATTTTGTCGGCTACAATCACGCTAATTAGTCGCAACCGGGCCGATGATACGTAACCGTTTGATCAACGGGAAACCATTGTTCACGGGGACTGTTCGCGGTTTCGTAATCGCGTACCGATAATGACACTAACGAATAATCCTCGACGCGCGATTATTTTCACGCGCCGCGCGCCACTCTGCAAACTTTCACGAGTGCCCGAGACAATTTCGATCCGCGAACAATGAGCGATAATGGCGGGTCCGTGCCCCGCGCCACTGTCGCCCGTTCGCGAAAAATAGCGTTCATTTGCCCGCTACGGCCGCCATTTCGTCCCGTCATTTCGAAAGCCTCGCGATTAATGCGTTTATTTTGGTAAATGCTTCGCTTAATTCGACCCCCTCTTTACAAAAACACACCCCCCGGCCGATATTTGCCAGCGTTACGATCCGTTGCAACCGAATCGATCCCCCCACCGCCGGGCGGACAAACGAAACAGAGGACTCGAAACGTATTAATTTTCAAAGAGAATTCTAACGAGGCGCGGCAAAGAGAGACGTAATTATTCGTAGAAACGGGAAGACGTTAATCCGGCGAACGTCACCAAAAAAGATAAATCGTCCGCGACGGACGAGCTTCGAGGCGACCGCTTACTGGTTCGCACGTTCGCCGAGCTTCCGGCAAGAACGAAGCAAGTTAAAATGCAAATTTGATTACGAAGCGGAGCCGCGAGCCGAATAGTCCGTGTCGAGCGTGTCACGTTCGCGAGTTGACGTCCTTCTTCGTATAAATATGTCGACGCGCGTGTGCATAAGCGCGGGCAAAGTTTCTCGACACACACACAAAACGCGACGACTGTTTATCGCCGCGTCGCGGAAACGTGGCGGCGCTCGAGATCGTTTCCGGCCGACGGGATTCAACGTCGCGCTTCAGATTACAAACTTAACGTTACGAAACCCATAAATATTATTTGCTAGCAATTTATCCTTCATTTATTTACGGGAAGAGAAACCCTTTAGTACAAAAGATTTTCCAACGATTGTTTCTTTCTAATATTTTAAAGAATGTGTATTTTAACGTAAATGTCAATCCAACGGATTCGTAAAAAGATGGCCATTTCCTCCGAAAAGTTCCCACGAGCACGTCGTTTCCGTTCGCGGGAAGACATCGATGTTTTCGCCGTAAAAAGTTCCCTTTGAGGGCCCCCGGAACTCTTCGCGTATGCAACGACGAATGTTCCGGGGCAACTTTTCGCGGCCGCGACATCGCGAACGCAGGGTAAAACACGTACGGAGAGCGGTTGCGGTCCGTGAAACGGAATTGCTTATCGCGAGAACGCCTAGCAAAGCTTGGCCATTGTTTGCACAGTTCCGTCGCACGGGAACAAACTCGATCTCTCTCCCTTTCCGCGCGACCCGAGCGCGCATCAAACTCCGCAAACGCTCGGAAATATCATTACTTAGTCGAATAGAAAACGGTAAACGTCTAAGCCCCGGCTCGAAACTTTTCAACCCCGTGTCGAGAATCTTTATCGATGCAACCTCTCGGTCATCCTCGTATTCTAAACGCCCCTTGTCCTCTCCAACTTTCGAAGTTGTGCACCTTTTATTTTCATTTAATAAACGGAAATCCCCACGCACCCAGACAAAGTTGTTTCTTTCTTCTTACGTTTCCGGACGTTGGAATTCGCAATTTACCGCGAAGAGATCGAGCTCCGTCGATGGGGACGAGATAATTCGTCGGTGGTGCTAGTTGGAGAAGCGTCGCGCGACGAGCCGACATTCGAAAAGTTTTTCAACGCGACCGATTTACCGGGAAACAAACGACAGGACGGGGGAAAAGAGTCCAACAAAGGGTGAAGAGATGGAAAAGGACAAACATATGACACGCGAGATCGTACTATTGTCAATCCTGATGTATTGTCCTGTCAGGGCGTAGTCAACGGCGTTGACATGACCCAGATGGAGTCGAGGACTCTTACGGAATAATCGAGAAAAATACGTATCGCTGTGTGCATTGTGCGTACTAAATGAATAACTCTCGAATCAGCCGGTGACGTCGCGCAATTAATTCTTTCGGCGTCGCGTTTGTTCGTCGAGTGCTCGGGAAATTATCAACGTTAAACGCATTTTCGCGGATAACACCACTTTTCGAAACGAGTCCTCGACTCAATGCCCGCCGGTCGCTTCCGAACAATCGAAAGTTAACGAGTCGCTGCTTTCGACGTTACGAGGAGAAATGTTTCGGCCAAACGCGAGTTTAGAAAGTAAACGAAAGAAAAATGACCCAAAATTCGAAAATTAACGAAGGATATTACGAGCATCGAACTATATCATTGCCTCGTTAAAAGAGACTTTGATTCCTGCTAATTTCGAACGCCTTTTCCCTACGTTTTGGCGCGATGGCGGTCAGGCTCGCGCAAAAATCAAAAGTTCGACGAAACATCGAAATCCGTTACAGAAAGTTATTCTCGGATACATCCAGGATTCTGGTCGTGGACTTTCCGGACAATACCAGGGCAGAGAACTCTGGATATAATAACATCGTCGATCCCCACGAGAATAAAGATGTATTCTTAAGCGAAAGCTATCCCGCAAGAAGCTTTTCTTCGGTAATCGCGTCGGCACCGCAGGGTCAACGAAAATCCGATTACGAGTCCTGGCTAATGATCATCAGGAAGAGATTTCGTTGTACGTCTCTTAG